GAGGTCATTCAGTATAGAAAGTGTCAGCAGCATAAGGCACCATATCCTTCATGCTCTCAAGTGTTGGTTTATTCAAGGCTACAAAAGGGTCCCATGGCACACACACACCCTAATCCAGTGATCAGACCCCTCCTACCTCCATCATTCCCAACTTGCCCCTTTTGGTTCCTAGAACTGAAAACCACAGGGCAGCTGCAGCTCTGCTATGCTAGTGTGAAGCTCTGAGGGTGACACATCAAGGAAATCAACCACAGTAGCATGTCCCAGACACCACGTATGATTCTGGGATATGAAGAGGCTCTTAATGAAAAGTCCTGGTCATTTGAGGCTTTATTGTTCGATTGGATTTTTCATAGCAATAATATCTTTCAAAGATCCCTCTAGAAGGTGGCAACCTACTATGACAAAGGTCATGGAGAGATAGCCTTAAACATATTTTCAATGTCCATGGAGGTAGAAATTATTTTTTTCTAGAGCAATGGTTCCTAAATTTTAAGAAATGTAAAGTCACTGGTGAATTTGTTGCATATTTCTGGGCTATACATTAAGAAGTCTAATTCATGAGACCAGCAGATGGTGTAATAGTTATGTTGCTGGACCTCCACATAGCCAACCGTGATTTGAGTCCCAGACCGGGTGGCTTAAAACTCATGCCAGGCACGTGTGTGCGTGTGCTCAAAATTCTGAGGGAAGACCAGAGGAGAAGAGATTGTAGCATGGCTATCCCCCTTGAAGGGTGATTCCTCGCTTTCTGTCTCTCTGTCTCTCTCCATCTCTCCAGCGAGTGCACATATCCTTATAGCAAAAACCTCTTTTAAAAAGTCTAATTAAGTAGCTCTGAGCCAGAGCTGGAGTTTCAACAAATGACCCTGATAATTCTGAATCAGAGGACGTCTCGTATTGTAAGAGGTTTGACCATTGCTCAGCAAAACCTGTTGCCTTCTGGACACAACTTTTATGGTGAGTGTCTGTCTTTCCCCTCTGGGGACAGCTCATTTATGCCATAGGGCATATGTGCTTGTTGGAGAGAGACAAGCAGAAAGGGAAAGTGAAAAATCACCCCCTGAGGAGATGGCCATGCTACAATCCCTTCTTCTCCATTCTCCTTTCAGGTTTTGGGCATGCATGCACCTGATGTGACTTTCAGGGAGCCAGGTCCAGGACTTGAGCCCTGATCAGCCATGTGGCAATCCACCGCCTTAACCACCATGCCATTTGCTGGCTTGGGAACAAGTTTTATACCATGAGCACATTATGTGTTCTCAGCAAAGCAGGTATTCACCACACCTCTCCCTGAACTCCAGTTTATTTTTACCTGCTGTGGACTAGGGAAGCTTATTGCTTTCATGCTTGCCAGGAAATAGTCATAGTTATTTTCAGATGCAATGAAAATTTATTACATTAGAAAATCCTTATGTTTTCCTGTGTATTTCAAGGACAT